AGTTTGAGTCCCGGACCTGGTGGCTTGTTTTCTTACTTTCCCTCTCTCTCTGTATTGCTCTCTAGTCAAATTAAAATAAATGAATAGATAAATTAAATAATTGTTTAAAAAAATAACTTTTTTAAAAAAATCAGGAGGCTAAACTGTGGTACAGCAATAACATGACGCTCTATGAAGCTGACTCACATGGGAAGCTTTTGAGTTCATGTCCCAAGACCTCCTTGAACACATTGGACATGTGTGTGCCCATGATCCAGGGCAGATTGGAGCTGTGTGTGGAGGTCCTGTTGGGGATGCCTCTCTCTCTTAGTGGATCTTGGCATGGAGGTCCTGTTGGGGATGCCTCTCTCTCTTCCTCTCTTTCTCTGTGTCTCTCATTCATGGAAGAAACTTTTAAATTTTTAGGTCACTAGTCAGAGAGAGACAGAGAAAGAGAAGAATCACCCACCAGGGGCGATGGCCACACCACAATCCCTTCTCCTCCAATCTCCTCTCAGGATTTTGGGCATGCATGCACACATGCCTGGCATGATTTTCAAGTTGCCAGGTCCAGGACTCAAATCATGGTCAGCTATATGGGAGTCCAGCACCTTAGCTACTATTCCATTTGCTAGCCCTGAAAGTTTTTTTTAATTATTTAATTTAATTATTATTATTATAGTTTTTGCTATTGGGCACATGCACTCACCAGAGAGAGAGAGAGAGAGTAGGAAAGTAAGAAAGCAAGCCACCAGGTCCAAGATTTGAATCGAGTTTGGCCAAGTAGGAGTCCTGCACCTTAATTACCACTCCACCTGCTGGTTCCAAGAATGAAACTTTTCAATAACTAAAAGTAAATAATTTTTAAAACCAATCCATACTAAAAAACTAGTGTCATAAATAGAGATGAACTTTTAATTCTTAATTCAAATATGGTCATTTCACATTTAAAGTACCCAAATCAGAAACAAATACCCCAGGGATGGTATGTCCACGTGTGAAAGACTAATGAGAGACCATCTGCATCAAAGCTGGCTAATTAGCATTATGAAAATAAGCAATGGCTCCCTGCTCTGTGGAGGGTAAAATATTTTGCTATCTCAACCTTTGCAAGAACCACACAGAAGAATCTAGAAAGACCAACAGTCTGCCCCTTCAGAGAAGCGGTCTAGGACTCCGTCAGGGGCCATGGTTGACCACTAAAGGAGGGTGGTACCCTCTTTGGAGATTAGCTAAATCCTGCCACTGTAATACCATTGAATCTGCCTCAAACTCTTCTTTCCTGCAAGTGGATTGGCCACAGAGCCTGAACTTTGCTGCGCTTACAGAACGGACTGCAGGGGTCCAGTCTAGTAGCTTAGTTGAGGTAACCAGGTCCCACGTGATCAACTGTGTGTTTCCAGTCCCAGCCCTCTCCCAGTCCTCTCCCTCCCCCCCCCCTCTCTCTCTCGTGAGCATGTGGGCCAACTGGCTTATAAACAAAACAAAACAGTATGGATTTACAGAACAGACTGCAGGCGGACGGTATGGCTCTCTCCAGGCCTGCTGGATAACTAGTGTCTGAATGAGTGGCCAAAATAAGTCTGAGCCTTGCTTTGACTGTCACATACCTCTGAGTCGTGGGACTGTGAGAAAAGATTCACAAGGCTCACATCTACTACTTCCCCCCAAAACTTGATAATTCCTCAAAGCTCAAACCAGTTTAGGTCAGTTTACAATAGATCGTTTCTTTGGATTCCTGAGAACATGTTTAAGGCTCTGTGAGCATGTGGCAGACCTGTTTACATTCCCCAGTGCAGAGCCCTCCTGGGGCAAGGTTACCAGCTGGGCTGCGGCTCCCTTTAGGCAGTGACAAGCCACCCCCGCTCCAGTGGCCAAACTGAACCCCTCAGGCTTTTAGTGGTGAGAGCACGATGGATGTCCAAAAGGTGACCAAACAAATTTATTTAGCCCGGAGTCTCTGAGTTGACTCAACAGAGGAATCAATCATAATGCACACAAACAAAAAAGCCATGCTTTTATTTTCTTCAGGGCCAGATGTAATCAACCCCATCTTCTATTTTCTTTCTCCCACGGGGCAGACTCATCTGTCATTTCCTGTCTTCATCCCCCTGCTTCCTCATTCCTCTTGCTGGTTCCTTGCTCACAGGCCAGCCCAGCTGCTACCAATCATCCTGACTCCCTGCACCCCTGCAACACCAACCCCAGGTTCTAGCAGTCCCTGGAGGGTAGTCCTCAGTAAGACTCTCTTCAGATCATCAAAACTCCAGGGCAGGCCACAGAGAAAACAGAGAAACTAGGTATCTGACGAACTTTATGGCCACTGGCCTGAGAGAAACCTGCTTCTCAACTTTCTGAAACTCTGCAAAGATGGAAGCTATCTTTCGCATGGGCTGCCACCAAAATGACCGCCCCTTTAGCTCTACCTGACATGGAGAGCTACAAAAACAAAGTCCCTGCTGTGGCAGGCAGAATAATGCCTCCCAAGATGCCCATGTCGGAATTCCAAGAACCTGTGAAAACTTGGAAAATGGGAAATAAAGCTGCAGATGGAATTAAGGTTGCTAATCGGCTGACCTTAAAACAAAAAGATTATTCAAGAGGTCTCAAAGTAATCACAATGATCCTTAAAAGTATAAGGGGAAGAGGGAACAGAGAGAAGTCAGAGAGAAGAAATCAACCTGCTGTTGCAGACTCTGGATGGAGGAAGGGGCCATGAGCCGAGGAATGTGGGCAGTCTCTAGAAGCTGGAAAAGGTGAGGCAAGGGGATTTCCCCCTAGAGACTCCAGAAAGGAATGCAACCCTGTTGACATTTTGACTGTAGTCCAGTGAGACCCAGTTCGGACTCCTGACTTTTAGGACTGTGACACACACACACACACACACACACACAAAAGTGGCCCATCCAGGCAATATGGTGCTTAAGGTGGCTGGATCTCAGGGGCTGGCTAGCAGGCAGTATGGTGGTTAAGGGCACTGGACTCCCACACAGCTGCCCCCGGTTCCAGACCTCGCAACTTGCTTTCTCACTTTCCCTCACTCTC